GTAGCCATTGCAAAGTACGCTGCACATGAAAATCCACTGGCACGGGAAGCTGTGTGTGCTGCACTACATGAGGAAACCCTGATCCATAAGATTTTGCCACTTTCAACAGAAGGGAACAGAGAGGTGTGGGCTGAAATAAGATAACATAGAATAATCAATGACAACAATATAGAGGTCTTTCCCTGCAATAAAGAACTTCTTTAAGGTAAATGCCCATATTTCCTTGGACTTAAATATTAACGAGATAGAACCAAGCCCAGTCTAGGAAATAAATTTTAGTTTATGTGAAATTTTTATGAGCTGATTAGTGGGTTGGATCAAAGAGCACAACCAGAATAGAGTCACAGAGAGGTCTTAGGAGATAAAGCATTTCTTGTTAATTCACCACTAAAGGACATGAACTTGGATGAGGCACTTACCTACCAGGCTCTGCAACACACCTACAAACCTAAGTCATGTCCCAGGTGGGAAGCAGGGCTGGACGCAGAGAGCAGGCCGCGAGAAGGAAACTTTACTGCACATTTTAATCACAGACAAGCTGGGAGAGCCGCTCTCAGGCTCTCTCCCCAGAGGGCACCTTCAGCAGGGAAGAGGGAGGGAATGAAAAAGCTAGAACCGTATTCACTTAAACAGAAATACCACGTCCTGTGTGATGGGGTCTCAGGAGAGCCGCAGCCCAGACCTCAACATCGCCACTCGTGCGCGACCATAAATGATTCAATGGGGTGCGATGTAAAATGCTCCCGGTTCCACTAATGGGCCAGCGCTCCCATTTCCCACCAGTGTGCAGCTGCCGAAGGGCCGGTGGCTAAACAGAACAGTCTCCATCCACCCATTAAAAACATGTTTTTATACTGACATTTTTCAAAGCAGCCTGTTTCTCTTTTAAAAGGTATAAACAATTAAAAAATGCAGTATACGCAGGGTGAGAAATTAAGAGTGCTTTTCATCTATAACTTCCACTTTGTTCATTCCCGGAGGCAAATGCTCATACCACCTTCTTAATATCTTTCACTGATGTTCTACATGTAAAATAAACAATCCATAACGTCTCTCTCCCTCTCCCTTCCTCTCTCTCTCAAATCAATGAAAACATTGCTCCTTGATGGGGCGGTGGGACACGGAGGAAAATAGGAGATTCTGAGGAGGGGCAGGTCAGGAAGTCTTCCCAGAGGAAAGGCCATTTAAGTAGTCCCTTTTTCCAAAAAATTGAGGCGAATTTCACATAACATAAAATTAAGTATTTAAAAGGATACGATTCAGTGGCATTTAGTACATTCACATCATTGTGCAACCACCACCTCTGTGTGGTTCCAAAACATTTCATCACCCCAAAGGATGGGGGCTCTGAGATTCAATTGGATTTAGAAAAAGAGTTAGGTGACGGTTTTGGTACAAAGCTCACACACACGATATAAAGATGAACAGAATACGCCCTGGCTCTCCGGGGCCTTGCAGTCTAATGGAACCCCCCGGACCTCCACAGTACTTGTTGAGAACATTCTGAGGAATTATGTACCAGTGTAACCTTTTACTTGACTTGATTTTTACGACTGCATAAAGTTGCTAGAGTCCATTTTGCAGGTGAGAAAACTGAACTCAGAGAGTGAGTTCATGATTGCCCACGGCCTAAAAGTATCAGACCCAGGGTCAGAATATAGGACTTTGGACTCCATTCTTTTCACTGCTGAGTATAGTTCACGAGGGATGAGCAGACTGGATAGGCGAAGGGCAGCTGGTAGTTATCTGGAGCAGTTAGTCCTCACAACGTTGATATAGGTTGTGACTTTAACAAGTGATGTATAATGAAATCAATTTTACCACAGGCTAATTGATGAAAAAAAAAGAAGAGTTAAGACCCAGCTGGTGTGGCTCAGTGGTTGAGCATTGACCCATGAACCAGGAGGTCACGGTTTGATTCCTGGTCAGGGCGCATGCCTGGTTTGTGGGCTGGATCCCCAGAATGGGGCATGTGGGAGGCAGCCAATCAATGATTCCCTCTCATCATCGATGTTTCTATCTCTTTCTCCCTCTCCCTTTCTTTCTTTGAAATTAATTAAAAATATAATATACTACTATATAAGTTAAGTTGCTAGAGCATCTATAACATTATAACGAAGTGACATTGAACAAAACTATGTTATTCGAGGACCTTTGTACTCTGAGCTCCTGGGTTTGGTTCCCATCTGTAAGAGGACAGTACCACCTCACTAAGTGAACAGGACTTTGTTATTTCTCTGTGTGTTGTATGTTTGAATGAAGCAAAATGCTGGCTGTACCTTCCAGTTATGTTAACTCATGATAGCACCCTGGCACAGATGACAGGGAGCTGCCAAACGTTCCTGAACAGAGCAGTGAGAGGCTGGAAGTGGTTTAGGAAGATAAACTACACAGCTATGTGCAGAGCGGGGTGAGAGGCTTAGATGGGAGGCAGGGCACCCAGCTCAGAGGGTGGCGGTTACATGCAAGTTGAGTGATGAACAACAGGGCCTCAGCACGGGGCACAAGCGACGTCGGACCAGAGAAGGAAATGGAGAGGACCGAGGACTTGGTCCGGCGTGAACGCCACTCCATGCCATAGCCTCAGCGTATTATCCAAGACCCGAGAGAGAACTGTAAGAGTTAAGGGACACATTCTTTTAGAGATAACTTGTCGCTCTAAATGAGCATATTTAAACCATACAGTTTGGCACCGAGTTACAAGTAGCTACGACTATTTTGCCTGCTCCCCTGAAGCTGGAAGCAATTTCATTAGTAAAAGACCAATTGGCTGTTTGAAAGTATCTGAAAGATACATACTCATTAGGAGAAAGTGACTTTCCTAAGAGCTTTCTATCTCAAAGGAGGGAAGATGATCAGGGTCACAAATGAGGAGGTAATGTTACAAGGGTGAGGAGAGAGAACACTGTGACCTCTGGGATTCCTCTAAGCAGAAAGTTACAGGCTTTCAGCACCCAATCATCTTAGCTTTTAAGCGCCTACCGAGGAGTAAGTAATACAGAGCTTTGGGAGCTGAGCAGCTCTGCCAAGGGGGGAAGCGCGGCCGAGTGGAGCGGAAGGCATCAGGCTAAAGTGCCTTCATTCTTCTCTAGTCCAACCCAGCCAGCAGATCTGCATCTTCAGGAGGAAAATATTTTTTCTCCCGGCTTTTGCTTCAAACAAGAGAAAATGCCCCATAGCAACTACCTTCAGTGAGACTCTCCAGCCCCCTGCCCACCTGTTTTTACTTCTAAGCAGCTCTGAGGTCAGACGAGGCGGGGCAGAGCCTCAGAGCCTTTCCCAAGGAGAGGCCGGTTCAGGAGTGGCAGCCTGTCAGGGCCATCCCACCAGGAAGGGACATGCGCCACCGCCCCAGTGTGGGGGCACTGACTGGGATCTGTGCTGAGGTGCTTTGTCCGCCATCTCCAGGGAGACCTCGGTGGTTTCTTTTTAAAAAATTGATCTTAGAGAGAGGGGGAGGGGAGAGACACATCAATTTGTTGATTTGTTCCACTTATGTATGCATTCATTGGTTGATTCTTGTATGTGCCCTGACCGGGGATCAAACCCACAAACCTTGGCATATCAGGACGACGCTCTGACCAACTGAGCTACCCGCCAGTGCTGACCTCTGTTTCTAAATTAGAAGGCACAGAGTTGGGCACGAAGTTTGGTTTAGAGCAGCCGTGGGCAAACTACGGCCTGCGGGCCGGATCCGGCCCGTTTGAAATGAATAAAACTAAAAAAGAAAAAGACCTGTACCCTTTTATGTAATGATGTTTACTTTGAATTTATATTAGTTCACACAAACACTCCATCCATGCTTTTGTTCCGGCCCTCTGGTCCAGTTTAAGAACCCATTGTGGCCCTGGAGTCAAAAAGTTTGCCCACCCCTGGTTTAGAGTAACGCCACTAGAAAAATATTTTCTACATCAATGCCTTAGCTCTGGTGAAGAAAAAGTGATTTCACAAACAAGACCTTTTTATTAAGCATTTAGCTAGTAGTTAGCCTTCCTTGAAAATAATCAAGCTACAGGGCTTTTAATAGAGTCTAAACGTGTTGCCTTTATGCAGGCAAAATTGGTAGTTCTTTTATAGCTTCTCTCCTAATCATAGGCATGATTCAAAATATATTTTGTGGAACTATCACAAGATTTGTTGGCATTAAAGAGCCCTCGGGGTTCAAAATCTTGCTTTACTGTTCACTCTGATTTTGAGGAAATTACTTAATCCTTCTGGGCTTGTTTCTTGTAAAACAAGAAGGCTGTCTCGCTGTGGTGTTGGATTTTACGCATGCCTACGTGGAGGTGTGCACGTACAGGGCTCGGCAGTCATAAAAAGAACCCCACTTTAGAGGCCCTGGGAGTGGGTGGAAGGGAAAAGCTGGGGTGGCTGAGGAAGGAAGCACAGTGTGGTCGGATAAAAAGGATGAAGAGGGGGATGGGAAGTCACTGCTAATGGGCACAGGGTTTCACTCTGGGGTGATGAGAATGTCCTGAGTTAGATAGTGGTGCTGGTTACACAACTAACATACTAACAACTATCAGTACATTTTAAAAGGGCAAATTTTATGGTATGTGAGTTATACCTCAAATTATACTGTTACTTAAAAAAAAAAACAAAAGACCCAGAAAACGTAACATTTGGAGAGGTAATGAGAAATGGGGAATTTTCAAATTCTCTGGTGGGGTGGAGAATCAAGTTCTGATCTATAGGATAAGAAGTCATTATTTAGGGAGGTTGGAAACATTTTTCTTGCTAAATTTTAAATTTTCCATTCCCAACCTAGGTTCTGAAGTTTCATTTTGATAAGAGAATTCCCCTTCACTTCCTGGGCTAAATCATTAGTGGAACATTCCTATGATGATCTGGAATAATCGGTGATGGAATTTCAGTACCTGTAATGCTGCACCCTGAGTTTCAGGATATCGAGAGAAATACCAAAACCAAAGATTTCATAATCACTGCCCCAAACTGCCTTGATGGTACTATCCCAATACAGACAACCATAGGCACAACCATTTAGATTTCTAGTTTATTATTAAATTACATAGCAAAGCTTCTATACAGTCAGAAAATGCACATTTAGATGAGAACAAAAATTAAATACAAATACAATTAAACTGGTTCCAAGAAGCCATTTTAAAAGCAAAAAAATTAGAAAGTGCATTTGGAATAGATTTTTAAAAATCTGTATTGGCATTTTTCAAGAGTAAACATCTCCCATCATGGTAAAGTGTGATTGGAATTGATTTCCCTCCCTAAGAGCTAATAGGATGGCAATAAATGCAAATACTTTGATCCTAAAGTGAGACCTTATGTATAAAGAAAATGAGAAAGACATGGCTCAGCTTCTTATCCAATGAACATCCTTAAGAATCAATTGTTCCTCATTTTCCTTTCCCCTATAAGAAGGATTCGCAGATTTATAAAGGAATAACAAGATTAGGTTATAAAGTCCATGATGTAAAGCTCTGCATCTTTTTGGAGACCAGCTAAATAACCCCTAACCCAAAATGAGAATGGAACGCAATCATTTTAATTTTCTGAGTAGGATCCATTTGTTCTTTAGTTACATTTGCCACAAAATCTAGTGCAACACTGGACATGGCCACTTAGACTCATCAGCTTAATGTTGCAAGTTAGAGAACTCAATTTCCAAGAAATCAATCTGATTGATGATCAAACATAAGGTATTAGAAACCAAAAGGCTAGTCCAGTTTCTTAAAGTCCTTTCACCAAGTTGAGATTATCAACAGTGAAACAGAAAGTTAACGGTGGGAATGCAAGTCCAAAGTGCCTCAATTATTTAGAGGCCAAAAGCTCAATAGGTACATTTCTCTATTCAGGTTTACTTAGCATCCAATAGGAAAGAACTAAAGTAAAGATATTTGATTCTAGGTACAAAAAGTCTCATGATGTCTCCCCTCCTGTCACCCGTCTGTCTCAGGATTTCACTCCCATGCCTGATCTGATTCCTGGGCAGTGTGGAAAACGGCATTCTCTGTAAAGTGAATTTTGGCAGAAAGGAGAGAGGAATAGTGGAGAAGGAAAGCCCTTTTCTAACAGGAGACAAATAAAGGGTGACCAATGCAGGTTACAGGGAATCCTTCAGCTTCTAAAAGTAATAATAATAGAGACAGCCAGGACAGACACTAAAGCACTTGGACATTTGGGCTTGAACTTTAGTAAGAGATTTTTTAACTTTTACTAGAGTTACCAGCACACATTAAAACAGTCTCAGAAGTGTATGTTTTGGAATTTTCTGCCTTTATGTTGCCATGGTTTTTCATACTCTCTAGTGAAATGGAAAGTTTTGAGTGGTTACAAAAAAGATTCCAAAAGGAAAGATCATCATATAAGACAATAGCTGAGGGAGACTGCTCCCTCTACGAGGCAACATTTGGGACTAGAAACAGGAAAGTCCTTCTGCTCTGACTTTCTCTGAGAGTAGCCTACTGTTGGCTCCTGGGCCTACCAACAGGTCTGTAAGAATGGCAAAAAAGGAGAAAAATCAAGATGGTAAAAAAAAAAAGTTAAGTGGCATGAAACTGAAAGAGTTCTTAAACCAGCGACTGTGGGCTCCATGTTGAGCCTCTAACTAGTCAATGGCACACTTCTTTTTCTTGCTCCAGGCCTCCTAAAGCAGCGGTCGCCAACCTTTCAGACATCATGGTTGGCGACCGCTGTCCTAAAGGACTCGCAGAGGAAGGATGGGCACAGTCCTAGCTACCTCTCTACATTTGGCCCCGGACACCTCACTCTGGGCTACAGCACTGGGAGGTTAGTCAGACCTATCTGACCGCAACATCTACACCACACGTTCTCAACTTCCTGGGAAGAACTAGCTTATCTTTGTAAAGAAAAGACCCAACACAATGCTTTTACTTCGTTTAGCAGAACCTCAATGGAAAGGCTCATCAGTGGCAGCGAGCTAGATTAGCGCAGGTTCTAGTTTTACTGTCACACAATCAGCTTCGATGAATGCACCAAATAATCAGACCAGTAAAAAAGACTGGTAGTATAATTAAATAAATAATTTTATTTATGAAACTTCAGATTTTATAAATGCCAACTATATAGCAACCAAAGTCCCATAAATTCTAGCTGAGGTACAACCACCAATCAAGGCCCTTTGAAAAATCAAAGATAATAAAGTGTCAGGGGAGAAAGGCATTGTTCTCCCAACAGAGAATTTAATAAATGACCTTCCCTGACCCTGGAAGGTTCGCATTGGGAAAACTTAAACTATCTTTTAAGGGCACCCCCAATCAACTACTGATCAATCAACCCATATTTAGAAAAATAAACCCCATAGTTAAAAAAATATCAAATGCCTTTCATACCAGAATATAACAAAACTCTGACACCAGAATGAAACCTTTCAGTCTCTGTATCAGACCATGGATTAGTCTGCCCATCAGCCTGTACATCAAGTTCATCAGAATGACACACACCATCGACACTTTATGATGTAGTTAAGAACTGCATGCTAATATCCTTTCATTCCTGGTGGCACAGTCTGAAGCCAATACTGTAAATACCATAATCAATTCCAATGGTGAAAAGCAGCCTCCTCCTTGGTGAGAATGTAGATGTTGGAAGTCTTCAAACTATTTGTGGTAGTTGAGTTAGACAAAGTAATGAATTTACAGAAACTCAGAAATGGTTAAACCTAAGAATTCTGGTGGGTGGTTTAAGATTTTGTCACTCTGCGGATGAGAGAGGACAGGGGCAGATAGAGATTCTGTCACACGTATCTCCAACTGTGACGCCGTTCTCTGGATGTCTGGAAAAGCTTAAAAGATTTGGGATAAAGAGATTTTCACAGAACACAGAATTCCTGTTATATTGGGTGGTAGTTCTTAAAACTTTTGCTCATAAACGTGGAGCATTTACAAATGAAATTATCTGAATGGTGACTCCTTGATCAATGTCTTTTTACACGTGGCTTGTTCAGTAGATGTCACTGAAAACTGAGCAGTCCCCTCACTCAGTCATCAGTGTTAATCCTGACATGAGGAATAGTTGGGGGCATTGGCTATTAGCTTCTTTTGTCCTGGCAGAACGAAGATTTCATTTTCTTCTAGTAGCAAATATTAACCCAAATGGAAGAAATAAAAGTCAAAACAATAATTGACTCCTTAAGAAAAGCTTGTCATTCTTGATGCTTTTCCAGTAATACAGTTAAGCCCAATGTGCACACGAGTTAAAAAAAGAACATCCCCGCCGAATGGCTCAGTTGGAGCGTTGTCTGTGTATCAAAAGAGGCTGTGGGTTTGATTCCTGGTCAGGGCACATATGGGAGGCAACCAATCGATGTTTCTCTCTCTCTCTCCACCCCACCCCCCTCCTCTTCCCCTTCCTCATTCTCAAAAAAATTAAAATAAAAAAAAATCAATAAAAACATATCCTTGGGTGAGAATTACAAAAAAGAAAAATGCTTTTTTGCAGTGTTTATCATTTAAGACAACCTCAACTCTGTTGAAGTTGGCTTGTCAGCATCTCAAAGAATCTGTGAAAAATGGAATTTTCCTTGAATACCGAAAGAGTTGGGGACACAGAGTAGAAGTTTATAGCACAGATTTAAAAATGACTTGTGACTTTTCATCATGAGTGTAAAATAAAAGGACAAGAACTATTTTTATTCACAACCCAATCCGTCAGCTAAAAGGAAAGCAGTCTTTGGATAGAGAGACCTGGTTTTCCGAAGAGTCCAGCTGTAAGACCTAGCTTGCCATCAGCCTCCAACACTATCACTGAAGCGCAGACTCTCTTTCTGACTCGTTTACTTACCCTCTGGGGAGACAAAAGCAACGGAAAACTTTTCCTTTTATAAAACCTAAAAACAGAAGGAAGTGTGTTAGAAAAACTGTGGCTTCAGCTCAACCTGACCACGTCACAGAGTCCAGCACTATGAGCCCCGAAGGAATCCTGCTGGTCAGGCTAATTATCAGGGCAGTCCATTTCTCCTTCCCGCTTTCCTTATTCCAGATCAGGGCCTGAAAGTGGTAGTTGTCAAGAGTCCCTGGAGGCGTCTCATCAATGGAAAGCATACAGCAGCAATAGGATGGTACAGACACCAATAACACCACCCAGGATGAGTGAGTCTCGCCGCTTCCTAAGGTTGATTCGCTGGATCAGGCTGTTCACAGCAGGAAAACGATCTTTGGGAAATCTTTATTAAGGTCATATTTGGAAGCCTCTTTAGTGAAAAGTCACAGAAATCACAAAAACAGAGATCAGTAGAGTCCAGAAACAGTACGTAATGGGAGGAAATCACCCGGAGGGAGCTGCAGCCTTTAACAAAAACACAAACTGGAAATGCTCAGGGCCCAACAAACTCCAGTCTCCTAGTACACTGCAGCACACAACTAAGAATAAAAAATCAATAGAGAGAGGGGGAGAAGAAAATAATGATGACAATTACAATGTATTAAGGGATTACTGCCAGGCTTCAGGTCAAGTTGGTCAAAAACAGAGGAACCCCACTGGGCATGGAGGCAAATGTACAGCCAGCTACCGCTACCACCACCCCCATTCCACCCCACCATTCCTTCTCTCTCCCTCCCGCCTCCTACACACAAACACACACACTCTCTCTCCATCCCTTTCTATTCCTTCTCTATGGTGACTAAAAAGTTTTGCCAGAGGATGTGAAGTGTGCCCTTCCTCTCCCCACAGGGTGATAAGTTCCCCTGGATTTGGGCAATTGGTGGGAACTAACTCTAGGATCTGCATAATCAGGCACTGTTATTAAAATTTTATAATTTACTACCGAAGCCGGTTTGGCTCAGTGGACAGAGCGTCGGCCTGCGGACTGAAGGGTCCCAGGTTCGATTCCGGTCAAGGGCATGTACCTGGGTTGCGGGCACATCCCCAGTAGGGGGTGTGCAGGAGGCGGCTGATCGATGTTTCTCTCTCATCGATGTTTCTAACTCTCTCTCTCCCTTCCTCTCTGCAAAAAATCAATAAAAATATATTTAAAAAAAAAATTTTATAATTTACTTTGTATCAGTAGGTAGGACATGGTAAGAAAGTGGGTTCAATTGCTCTAGTTGTTCAATTTCCAGAACATATAAAAAGAAAAGAAATTTTCAATTTTAGAGGTTTTATAGCAGTTACAACTGTATTTTTCTTAGTATTTTAAAATATCTTCATACTCTTGTTTGTATGTTATACAAATTACAGCCTATACTGTTGTGCATTTCTGGCAAATGCAAAAGGTGTGGGTGCATCTCTCAAGGTCAGGAAAACCACCACCAAGATCACCTAGGACACTAGAGAGGGGAGAGGGAACAATCTCTACTCCAGGTGAATCCTCACCGCATTCTCCTGTAACAAAATGACTCCCAGCAAAGACTGTATTTGTATACTTAAATGTCCTACATATTGTATGATCAGGACCACGTTTTCTTCTAATCTTAAATTTCCCTGTGCATCTAGAATAGAGCTTTATATACTACAGGCATTAATGTTTTATGTTGTTTTTTTAGAGAGATGAAGGGAGGGCTGGAAGGAGGGGGGCAGAGAGGGAGGGGGGAGAGGGAGAGAGAGAGAAACATCGATTGGTTTACCTCTTTTATGTGCCCCAACTGGGGACAGAACCTGCAACCTAGGTATGTGCCCTGACTGGGACTCGAACCTGCAACCTTTCAGTGTATTGGACAATGCTCCAACCAAATGAACCATACCGGCCAGGGCTTAATGCATTTTTTTAATTAAATAATGAAAAAAGAACAATCTGCAGAAATAATTCTTAAAATGTAGATGGGCAGGAAGCATGAAGTAACAGGCAAAAACTTTTATAAGGTACAAATCTAATTTAGAGCAAATGCTTAATCAATCTTTTCTTGCTTGGTAAAAACAGGATCAACAATCTCCTTTGAAAAAGTATCGAAATTTTGGAATTAGGAAACCCTGTCGATAGTGGACATCTTTCTGTCCAGTTTACCTTTAGGGAACCTTCCCCCTCTCCCCTTATATAATAATTAAATAGTTCAGTCCATGTGAGAGGATGGAGCTGACCTTGTCCTCCAGCACCAGGTGTACACACAACCTCAGGATTGGCCAGGAAGAACACTCCCTCCCAGGGCCAGTGACAGGTTACAAATAGGCGGTGACTCAAGCTGGGGGAACCACGGTCCTCTCGGGACATTGTCCACAGTGGTTAGAAAAGACACCCTTTTCCATGGGGATTTTTGAACTGGTAGGAGGTGACTCTTACAGTCATCTCTATCACCCTGAGGGGAGAACCTGCCTGAAAATGAGGGTAACACACAGGAAAATAGAAATAATAGATGGAGTAGGTAGGGGGAACAGAGGGAGGAAAGGCAGATTCTTGATAATAAAATCTGAGGCCCTGAATCCAGCCATGCCATAAGCCAAATTCCACCTCTGAATTTCACACATATATGAATAAATTAATTCCCTCCTCTTCCCCCTTAAGTCAGCCTTAATTTGGTTTCTGTTACTACCTCTCTCTGGAGTCCTGACTCACACCCATTTTATTTGTTTTATTAACACACATCCTTTGGAATGATTGTAATTTGTGATGACAAAATGAGATAATATATAGAACAGTATTCTGTAAAATGTATAGCCCTATATAAAATATGATTTGGGATGTGTGGTTTTAGAACAAAATTCACAAAAAACTGGAAAACATCAATACACTTCAGAATGTTATTTTCCCTAGGCAACTAAGGTATCAAATTAAAAGTGACTTTGAATTATCCAAGATGAGAAGATAGTAAACTTTTGAAAATTATATAGGTCCTTTCCCCTAGTAACTGGGGAAGGAAACTTTATCCCGATAGGCTTGATTTCTTAGAGAGTAAATAAAATGTTTCAGAAGTAGCAGGCTTATCAGTTTCCCCACTGGGTTTCTCAGAGGTAATAGTAACACTAATTTAACTTTGGAAACTAAAGAATTAAAAGGTAGAGGTCACTACAAACAAGCAGTGAATCTACCCTAGAGTTCGGCTTGTCCATAAGTTACAGTGTAAACATTCTATAAGCAGTTACAACTCATCCATGCATGTCTGTCTCCTTCTTTCCCCTTCTAAGCATCTGCCACTGACTGTTCTCCAAGCTGAAAAAAGAAAAAGCTTGTAACTTATGTTTAGGTAAGAATAGTGTATACTGTGGAGTTCTAAAATGGATATGAGAACTTTTGAAAACTAAAATTTTGTGAACTGAAAATTCACATTTATAATTTTTTTTCTCAATCTAATAATCATAAACCTCTGGTGTGCCATATTTTAGAAATGGTGTACTTTCTGTGCAATATGCAAAAGTGCACTGAACAATATGCACTTTCATGAAATAGGAGTGAAGGGGACATTCATATTATGTCATTAGTGATGGTCTCTGCTGCTACTGATGATGGCAACTTGCTGGGGGTATGAGAGGAAAGCACGTTCAGACTTCCCCCCTATAAGACCCACAGATTTCAAAGTTTCAAAAAGGATACTGGCCAAAGTGTTCATTTTGCTCTGAATTGACTTCAACATTCCTCTCTGTGAAGTCATATTTTCTTTTGTTGCCATAGCAATGCTGCAAGGGAGAAAACAAAAGAAGCGATTTAAATTGGCATTTAAGATGATCCTTTTGGATCTATCATACCCTTAAAAGTGAACAGAAAACTAAGGCGAACAATATCATCTTGAAAAGCACTGGGCAGGGCCCAGCCAGTGCAGCTCAGTGGTTGAGTGTTGACTTATGAACCAAGAGGTCATGGTTCGATTCCCGGTCAGGGCACATGCCCGGGTTGTGGCTCGATCCCCAGTGTGAGGCATGCAGGAGGCAGCCAATCAATGATTCCCTCTCACCATTTATGTTTCTATCTCTCCCTCTCTGAGATCAATAAAAATATATTAAAAGGAAAAAACAAAAAGAAAAGCACTGGGCTGGAAAACAAAAGATCACTTTCCAAGTCACCTTCCTATTGACCATTTTTAAATGACCACTACATCACCACTGCTATCCTCTGGGATCTTCTTGGGCAAGGAAGTAAGCCATTTCCTGTGTCCCGCCCCCCCCCCCGCCCCCCCGCAAAGTAACAAATAACGGACAAATCACATATTACAAGAGCTTCTTAAAATGGTTGTAAAAAGGGCCAGTTACAATGTCCTTAATCAGGAAAAACTGTTGAGGGGGAAGTAGGCAATTACAATCATAAAAATAGAACCCAAAGTGTAACATATCACAAAACATTTATACAACCCGACCCCAATTTATGAAAAGATTACATTCGAAAAGTCTACTTGAGGACCAATCCAAGCAGATTGTACGACACACATGCAACATTCTGCTGGATCTCTAAGCCAGGTGATAAAAGGTCATTAAAAACTGAGAGAAGGAAAAAAGTCACTGTAGAGTACAGTCTCTTCCATGTGACTACTTTGAAGTCGTTCAAAAAAGAATCTTAATATCTTTTTGCTATCACTGCCCCAAGATTGTTAACTTACAACAGTCTTATCTCCTTGCACATTAAAATCCTATAGGGCAGGTCAGCGTCCATTTTCATATGCAACACACAGGGGAGTGTTTTAGATACTGACATTATAAAAAGCAATAGGAAATAATATCATGCATTTGAGTAATTCTGAAAATATGTGAAACATTAACGACAACAACAACAAAGCCTGTTGTTTCTGAAGAGATTCTGGGAAGATGGTGATCAGACCTCATCCCTGACCTCGTCTCTGGCCCAATTACCACCCTGGGGGAATAAAAGAACAAAGGCAGATGGTGGGGGAAGGTCCATCTGAGGTCCAAAGTTCTCTTGAGCTCTCCAAGGGAAGAAAGCCAGGGGGGTACACTCTCTCAAGTGAAGGAAGAACCAGGGAATTCATGGCAGGGAAGACTAGATTTTTCTTTCAGCCTGAGCAGAGAACTAGGTTTCATTGCATTCTGAAGGGCCCAGACAGTGGAAGGAATAGGGCTGCAGCAATGGACTGAACTGCCCCAGTCCCTGCAGCTGGAAAAGGACTGGCACATACAACCAGAGGCCTATAAGCAGAGAGCTCACAGTCTTCCAGCTAATGTGATGCCACTGCTAGGAGGAAGCACTGCTGGGCTATCTACCACCACCACCTGGTATGTCACTGCTTTAGGGTCTCTAATAGCTGGATGTATCAGGGAGCTGACTGAACACATTATTCCAGAGGTCCCCAAACTTTTTAAACAGGGGGCCAGTTCACTGTCCCTCAGACCGTTTGAGGGCCAGACTATAGTTTAAAAAAAAACTATGAACAAATTCCTATGCACACTGCACATATCTTATTTTGAAGTAAAAAAAACAAAACGGGAACAAATACAATATTTGTATTTGCATGTGGCCCGCAGGCCGTAGTTTGAGGACCCCTGCATTATTGGATAGGCAAGACCTAGTATTCTATTGAAGGAAAATGCTGGAGAGAGTACTCTAAGCAAATGACAAATGAATCAAAACTGAAATTTTAAGATTTGAGAAGGCAAAGAAGGAATAAAAGTGTGTAAGAAGATATATAAACAGATATCTGTTGAAGCATTATTTAGAATAGTAAAAGACAAAACAAGAAATTTGGAAACAACACTGGAATGGTTTAGTAGATTATGGTATAACCATATTAAGAAATAATATTTGGTTATTAAAAAGAATGAGTTTATAATATTTCTATTAACCTGGAGGGATGTTTATGATATACTAAATGATTAAAGTAAGCTATAGAATGTGTACAGTATGAGTCTTTTTTTTTTTTTTTTACTATATATTTTTATTGATTTCAGAGAGGAAGGAAGAGGGAGAGAGAGACAGAAACATCCATGATGAGAGAGAATCATGGATCGGCTGCCTCCTGCAAGTCCCCCACTGGGAATTGAGCCCACAACCTGGGCATGTGCCCCTGACCAGAACAGAACCGGACCCTTCAGTTAGCAGGCAGACGCTTTATCCACAGAGCCAAACCGGCCAGGGCCTTTTTTTTTTTTTTAAAGAAACAAAACATTTTTGTGTGTATTTGTATGAAAGTAAGAAAGGTATTGGATACATAACCATCAGTTAATACAAGTTACTTTAGGGGGGAGGAATGGAGGGGCACTACTAGGAGATGAACCTTGTACATTTATAGAATTGTTTAAATGTTACCATTAGAACATTGTACTTTTATAAATGTAAATATCAAATAAAGAAAATTAGAGGAATTCCACCAGAGTGATCAAGAAATGTTAGTAACATTCCCAGCACCAAATCTACTGTTATTCGCCTCAGTACCACTAGGAGCTTTTCTCCAGAAAAGCTCAAGAATTAAGGGAACCAGATACATCTGAAGACAGAAGTATGGAATAGGGCTAAGAATGGCAATTTGTACAGAGTTGTCAGAACCCTAAATTACCTTCCCAAACTATGCACTCAGATAACTGCCCCCAGTGCAGTAGAAGACCTAACCTAGGAGGAGATCTGGAGACACGGACATTTGAAGTCCCCTGCGAAACCGCCAGCTCCCTTCCTGATTACCCCTGTGAGGCTACCACTCAACAAGTCCCCCCACCACGCACACAGAATGGGCTTCCAATCACTGGATTGGAGCCTCACTCTTAAAAGAGCCAAGAATCACCAGACATTGGAGGAGAGCTTCTAACATAAAAGGCAGAGATCTAAATAAACAACCAGCAAACAGAAACATGAGTCTGAGGAAATAAGAGACAATAAAGGAAGCTCAGGAAACTTAAAATCAAATTATGTTTAATGTCTTCAGAGAGATAAAAGAAGATTACCCATCCATGAAACATGTAAACATATAAATATATGTGTATGTATGTATCCATCACTTAGGAAAGCTCATGTAAATTAAAAAGAAAAAAAAGGAAATAAAGATGCATACTAAGCTCATCATGGTGAGTTTAAAAACAAATAAAAACACAGGGGAAAAGGAATGGTCCCAAAAGCTTTCTGAGAAAACAGCTTATCACATACAAAGGATTAGAAATTTTAATTGGCATTGGACTTAAAAAGCAATACTAGAAACAATGCCTTAAAAATTTCAAAATGATCTCCAACCTAGAATTCTATACCTTAGCTAAATTATGAACCAGAATATGGGTAGAATAAAGACTTTTTAGATGTGGGTGTGGGAAGTCCAAAAAACTTACCTCCTGCTCTTTCTCAGGAAGCTACTAAAGAAAATGGTCCCGCATAGTGAGGGAACAAACTAAGGTGGAAGACACTAAATCCAAGAAATAGTTGATCTGATAAAGATTAGTTTAGGATAATGATAGAAAGGACATCCCAGTATCAAAATAGTAGAAACAGGCTCAAAGAATAATCAGTCAAGATGAGAAGAGAAAGGCCCTGGCCAGGTGGCTCAGTTGGTTGGAGCATCATCCCATACACCAAAAGGCTGTGGGGGTTCGTATCCCTAGACAGGGTGCGTATGGGAGCAACTGATTTCTCTCTCAAAATCAGTAAAAACATATCCTCAGGTGAGGATTAAAAAAGAATTAGAGCAGACGGAAGCAGGCAATTATAACATACTGAATTTTAGATTTTAGATTAAAAAAAAAAAAAAGAGCACAAAAAGAGTCAAACTAATAATAATGTCATTATTTCTTATTCATAATTTTTCAGTTTAAATGTGCTCTATGACAGCATATGGTACATTTAAATGTGGTTGTTTTAAAATGAATTTACTTTACAAAGTATTTAAAAATTGATATTATGTATGATCTTGTATAAAGTAAAAGAATTCAAAATTGGGCTGAGTAATCTGACACCAATCTTTGAATCATATATGTCTCTGTTTTTTAAACTGGGACTATCACTGACTCCTGTGCACTTTGACTCAGAAGTAGATAGAGAAGATGAAAAAATAATTTCTGCAAAGTACTTTGTATTCCTTAGAGAATGGATATTATCAACATACATTATGTTATTGTCTTGTTGAATATGCATGATTTCCAGTACCACACAAAGTATATCTAGACATACTTTCCTATCTCGTAACATCATTTGGAGTCAAGCTGAGTGGAATCTAGGCTGTTATTTCAAGGGTCAAATACTAAGAGGCAAACATAAGCTCCAAATAATATATAATGCTTTTAAAATGATAAATCATTGATGTGCTTACTGGAACTTCAACTTTCTTACCTGTTTTGTGAACTACTCAGACACTAGAGAATAAAGAGTGAGGCTAAAATATAATATAAATTAATCAGAAAAATCAACCTAGCTAAAAGAGCCTGGGCATCACATGTCTCTTACAAGGGAAAGATACAATAAAAAAATACATTACAATCTAATTAAATTCACATCTTTAAGGAGGATGAATTAACTTTAGTGACAAGGTTAACCACATCTGTTCATTTGTGTGCAAACAAAAAAACCCACAATAAAGTAAAAAAAGTATTCCTACCTTATTGTCTCTTCTATCAGACGATCTGAGCTGCAATAAAAAATTCAAATTCTAGAATTATTAAAAGCACATTTAAAACTTGTATTAATTTTTCTACATTTTCTGGGTATGTTAACTTTCCAACCATTTATTAAACAAAATAGCCAGACTTTTGGAAGCATCTGAAGAATAATCTGGACTCTAAAATAAATTTAATTTATATATATGTAAATATCTAATAAAGATAATTTTCATCTTACTTTTATTTGTTGGCTTAAATCTATTTCTTCCACAGAGAAACTTGAAATCAGAACAGTTTTAATGTGAGCATAAATAAATGAAACGTCTTTAATTTAGATAGATCAAAGCTGTCACTACTGTCTATTCTAAGCTTAAGAATTATAACCAACTTGTTGAGACAGGATAGATAAATACAGTTCTGATGCCGATAAGTAATAATTATTTACACCTTAAAGTTCCTTCCTTTCTTGGGAAACTAAACCAAATCTCAGCTTATCATACTTTAGAATCTGAATAAAGAAACAAAGTGCTCCTTCAATCTGTAAATGTTTTGCCTTTATGAATCACACACTGCAAAGAAAGAAACTCCCCCAAAAGCCATTTTAGGGAGGAATTTATAGGTAGCTAAATTTGGTAAAGGGGCAGCTTTACAACAGAAAGTAGGAAAATAACTCCCAGATATCTGTATCCATTTGGCATAATGCATGATACACAGTAGGCATGCAAATAAATACTTGCATTTTTTTTCTAAATACTTCTTTCCAAAAGAATTTCTAAACAAAATAAAACAAAAACTAAGCCAGAGATATGGACAACAGATTGGTGGTTACCAGAGGAGAGGGGTTGGGGTGAGGTGAAATGGCTAATGGGGGTCAAATATATGGAGATGGATGGAAACCAGACTTTGGTGGTGAGCAAGCTATAGTATCCTATCTAATAAAAGAGAAACATGATAATTGGGGTACAACCGCTACCCTTCCCATTGGCTAATCAGGGCGATATGCAAATTAACTGTCAGCCAAGATGGCGGCCGGCAGCCAGGCAGCTTGAAACTAACATGAGGCTTGCTTGCTTCAGTGACGGAGGACTCCAACGTTCCCCACCTCTGAGCTGCAAGCAACTATGTAACAAACATAGAAGCTAAACAAAACGCCAGGAACCTGCCGGGCTTCAGCCAGCAGGATCGCAACATTGTAAGCAAAGGCCAGAAACCTATTTTCAGCAGCGGAGGCCTAAAAGCTGGAGCCAAGCCTCAAAGCTAAAGCTGGCCCAGAATAACAAGAAAAAAAAAGAAAAAAAGGAGCAGTTGGGAGCTTCCGTCACCCCCAGCCTGAAAACGGCCCTCAGCTCCTCACCCAGGCTGGCCAGGTACCCCAGTGGGGACCCCCACCCTGAAGGGTGTGTGACCAGCTGCAAACAGCCATCATCCCCTCACCCAGGCTGGCCAGGCACCCCAGTGGGGACCCCCACCCTGATCCAGGACACCCTTCAGGGCAAACCAGCCGGCACCCAACCGTGCACCAGGCCTCTATTCTACATAGTAAAAGGGTAATATGCCTCCCAGCACCGGGATCAGCGGAGCCGCGAGGCCTCCCGGCACCGGGATCAGCGTGACAGGGGGCAGCGCCCAAACCCCCTGATCACCCTGCGGCTGTGTGTGTGACAGGGTGCGGCGCCCCAACCCCCTGATCGGCCCTGCTCTGTGTGTGACAGGGTGCAGCGCCCCTCACCCCCCCACGGGCCCTGCTCTGTGTGTGACGGGGTAGAGCCATAACCTCCCCATCGGCCCTGCCCTGAGTGTGAGAGTGGCAGCACCCCAACCCCCTGATCGGCCCTGCTCTGTGGGTGATAGAGGGCGGCGCCCCAACCCCCTGATGGGCCCTGCTCTGTGAGTGACAGGGGGAAATGACCCAACCCCCTGATTGGCCCTGCTCTGTGCGTAACAGGGGGTGGCGCCGCAACCTCCACATCGACCCTGCCTTGAGTGTGACAGGGGATGGTGCCCCAACCCCCCAATCGGCCCTACCCTGAGCATGACTGAGGGTGGCATCACAACCTCCCGATCGCCCTGCTCTGTGCATGACAGGGGGCGGCGCCCCAACTCCCCAATCGGCCCTGCTCTGAGCCCGACCAGGGGCTGCACCTAGGGATTGGGCCTGCCCTCTGCCACCCGGGAGCAGGCCTAAGCCAGCAGGTCGTTATCTCCCCAGGGGTCCCAGACTGCGAGAGGGCACAGGCCGGGCTGAGGGGCCCCCCTCCCCCCTGAGTGCACAAATTTTTGTGCACCGGACCTCTAGTATACAGATATTAAATTATAATGCAACCCAGTCCTAGCCAGTCTGGCTTAATGGATTGAATGTCGGCCTGTGGACTGAAGGGTCCCAGGTTCGATACCGGTCAAGGGCACATGCCCGGTTGCAGGCTCAATCCCCAGTAGAGGGCGTGCAGGAGACAGCCAATCAATGATTCTCTCTCATCATTGATGTTTCTATCTCCCTCTCCCTTCCTCTCTGAAATCAATAAAAGTATATTTTTAAAAATAATGTAACCCTGAAAGTTATATAACTGTCACCTCAAAAATAAATAAATTCTAGATTCTATAAACCAATAGGTTGAAGTTTCATTATAAAATTCTGGGCCAGGAAATCTAATTTACTGCACAAATCAGTGAACAAAGATGAACTTCAAAAAAATGTCATAAATATCTTATATAAATCCTATGAATAAGAATTTCAAAAATTACAAAGATGGTGGAAGAATTAAAGGCCAGGCGGTGTGGCTTTTGAATGCTGGCTCTATCACTTACTAGCTATCTGATATCAAGCAAGTTACTATGTGCCTCAGTTTTCTCACCTGTAAAATGGGAATGATCATAAGACCTACTTGTTAAGAGGATTAAAGAAATATACATACATACATACATACATACATACAATGATTAGAACAGTATCTGGTACATAGTAAGCGCTAAGTACTTTTTGCTGTTATTACAGTAGTTTCTCAATAACTACAGACTAATTTTAATCTAAGCATACGGTTGATATAAATTTTCACATAAACCCATTGTTCTGGTGAAATCTAATAATTATAAAGTATGCATTTATTTTATTAAGAAATGCATATGGACGTGCCCCTGAAGGGTACTGTGTCGGACATGGGTTACAAAGATAAGACACTAACCTCCAGAGGTCTTACAATGAAGATAGACAACACATATGCCTTTCCCTTCCCTCTCATCTAGTAACCTCCAGATCACTGGAGGGTCTCTTCATTCCAAATTTTATCATCATTCTAGACTATTTAAATAGCCACAGAGAACAGACTCTCCATATCCTAAACTCATAGTTCCTTGATCTCTTTTACGCCAACGAATGCACACGGCTGCCCCTATAATTTCTTTAGTCTTCCTCAGTTTAGTAACTTCTCTCCTTTCCCACAATTATTCAATTTTTATCTTAATAACCAGGTAAAGGGCTCCTCAAAAGATCTTGAGACAAATAAAATTAACTTGGTAATCATTATTTCCAAATTTGAAAACAGAATCAGCAATATATAAAAAGAATTCGATACCATGACTAGGTTTTATCCAAAGGATAAAAGGCTGGTTCAATATTTAAGATTAATCCATGTAATGTACCTATTAACAAGCTAAAAAGCATTTGACAAAATCCAACACCCATTCATGAAAAAAATTCTCCAAAAATGGGAAGGGGTACATTCTCAGCTTGATAGACAGCATCCACAAAAACATATAGCTAGCATTATAATAGTAAAAGACTGAACATTTCCCCCTAAGGAAGGGCAAGGAAGCCCATACTCACCACTTTTATTCAACACTATTCTGGAAGTTCTAGCCAATGCAATAAGGCAAGAAAAGGAAATAAAAGGCATACAGATTGGAAAGGAAGAAATAAAACAGATGACTAGACTGCCTATATAGAAAATCCTAGGGGGGAGGGGGTGTCAATTGGGGAAAAAGGAGACTTATAATTATCCATCTAAAAAAGATAATCTCAAATCTATATAAAATCTCCTACAACTAAAGAGTGAGTTCAACAAGGTCAGAGGATACAAACATGTATATTTCTATATATAGATAGTCCCTGACTTCTGATGGTTTGACTTATGACTTTTCTTTCTTTAAAAAAAAAATTTTATTGATTTTTTTCAGAGAGGAAGGGAGAGGGATAGAGTCAGAAACATCCATGAGAGAGAAACATTGATCAGTTGCCTCCTGCACACCCCCCCACTGGGAATGTGCCCGCAACCAAGGCACATGCCCTTGACCGGAATTGAACCTGGGACCTTCAGTCCTCAAGCCGACGCTCTATCCACTGAGCCAAACTGGTTAGGGCTGACTTATGACTTTTCATCTTTTTTTTTTTAATCCTCACCTGATGATATTTTCCCATTGATTTTTAGGGAGCGGGAAAGACAGAGAGAAATATTGATGTGAGAGAAACGCATCAATTGGTTGCCTCCTGCATGAGCCCCGACCAGAGCCTGGGCCAGGGAGGAGCTTGCAACTAGGTACGTGCTCTTGACCAGAATCGAACCTGGGACCCTTCAGTCCACAGGCCCACACTGTTTCCACTGAGCCAAACCCAGTTAGGGCAATTTTTCATCTTTACAATGGTGAGAAAGTGATACGCATTCAACAGAAACCAGCTGGGCTAAGCTACGATGTTCAGTAGGTTCGATGTATTAAGTGCATTTTCAACTTAGGACATTTTCAATTTATGATGGGTTTATTGGGACATAATCCCACTGTAAGTCATGAAGCATCTGTACTAGTAATAAACATGTAGACACTAAAGTTAAAATACAAGACCATTTAATTGTTCAAAAAAGAAATACTTAGGTGTAAATCTAACAAAACCCATATAGAAATTGTATGCTGAAAACTACAAAATGGTGATGAAATCAAAGAATATCTAAGTAAATGAAGAGACATACTATGTTCACACACTGGAAGATTCAACACAGTAAAGATGTCAATTCTCCCCAAATTGATATACAGGCTTAAGACA